TGTTCTATTTTCGTAATTATCTAAAGTCGTTATCATTTCTCTTTCTCCTTAGTTTGTGAACCCTTCATGGCACAATAAATTGAATGCAAAAAAAAAAAATCATTCTTCTTGTTCAGAGACGTGACAATAAAAGTAACTATAAATATTTGATATGATCAACTAAGATATTATTTTACTATAGAAGATGATGATTCTCAAGGATTATTACGAAAATCACTTAATTCTATATTATCAACATGGAAAACGGCGTTAAAACCAAATCATCTTCTACTCATACCACTTGGATTTTGGACGCTTTCCGGTGAAGCATTCTTTATGGGAGCTTTCACAAATGTAAGTTTAAAGAAATTTTATAATTAGAAAAATTGATAAATAATAATTTTTATACCAAGTATAAGTTCAAGCACACGACTTAGAAAACTTAATAGGATAATTATTTTCTTTAGAACTGAGATTAAGATAAAATATATTTCAATGCTTCATCAGGTAATAATCACTAATTTTGATCGCCCTTCAGCTGATGAGCTATTTGGGACAAATGAAAAATAATTTTTCATAACTCAGAACTATCAGATCTAAATGAAATGATGCTCAGTTGAATTTGACTCTGTGCTTTTGGGGAGTAGATGTAAAAGTTTTTCTTAAATGTAATATGTCATAAAACTGAATATATTCTCGAAATTTAAAATTTCTTTTTTATAGAGCTTTATTACATGTACAATTGGTGTTCGATATGTTGGTATGTATGAATGATGCTTTGACACAATTTTTTTATCTAATCATATCTAATGTAGGTTTGATTATGACAATATATGGTATAATAGCTACTGCTGCTTCGATTATCGTTACTTACATAGTTAAATTAAAATACAGTCGACCAATATGCTTTTTAATCTCATCGTTGTTAAGCTATACTATATTCATCGTTATGCTTGTGTGGAAACCAACAGTCTCACTAACTTATGTGTTATTTATCATTCCATGTTTATCAAGTATTGTAGATGGACTTACAGAACCATTTATCACAGGTTTTACATAAGATTTTAATTTCTTTTGATCACCATAAAATTTGAACGAAATACTGTAGTATTTTTTGTATAATGTAGTTATATCTTACTAATAGATGTTATAGAAATTAAACTACGAAATGAAGAAAATTGAACATTTATCAATACTTACAAAACTTTACTATATTTCACCGACAAGAGAGAAGTTTTTCAAAGATAAATACAATATTCGTGAGATGGTTCGAAGCTTTTCTAGTATTAGGATAGTCTGAAAAGATTTCGAAGGTATTTCTCACAGATATAATTGAAGAAAAACATTTTTTTTTAATTTGATATTTCGCTCATCAGTTATCTTTCAAAAGTCCTTGACTTGTTGCTTACGAAATTATGACAAATTCGATATACCAAAATAATAACGAAAATTCCGTAAGACAGTCATTGTTTAATATTTTATTTACCAAATAATTAACACAAGAAAATATATTAACAATGCCTTTTCTTTTAGCTATGTACAATTCTATGTTACCGGATAAAAACGATGAGTCCTATTCATTATTAACATGTGTTCAAGAGACTGCTTCTCTCATCATTTTTTTCTATGCAACTATGTTACGTGTTCGTACACAAATTATTCTTCAACTTATCTATCTTACATTAGCTATGTTGTCTTATATTATTATTGCAATTAAACAGCGTAGAACTTCAACAAATGATGATGATGATCAACAAACCTTTGTTCTTAACAGGATAGTATTGTCAGATCGATGCTGAGATTTTCGTTGAGTGTGTCGCTATTATGCAAATAAAAAATATTTTTATATATGATACATTTATTCTTGTTTAGTATTGATTACAATTGTCCGTTTGGAAAGAAATGTTTGTCTATCGAATCATTAGAAATATATCCCTAACGTGAAATAAGCTATTTGTTTCATGAATATCTCATTCATAAACCAGACTGAAAACAAAAATATATAAGCATTATTGAAGTCAATTACGTCTATACCGATAGTTTATTTAACGGATATTAAATAATAAAAATATGAATCAAGTAAGCAAATAACCTAAAGTCTCTAGCAATACATCACGACATCTTTTACTTTATACTTTATAAAATAAAATGTATTTATGTTTCAAAAGAACAAACATCTAATTATTCTTAAGTATTGTATTATCGTTATGAATCAGACTCTTTGAATTTGTTAATATGTAAAATGACAAGAGTATAAAGAAAAAACAAAAAGGATGAGTCATAGTCAATAGATCGATCATCGTTTTACCTGTATTTCGATAGTAGTGATCTTGTCGGTTTCAACTGATCAAATTCAGACTGATTAATATTAGCACATTTCAAAGTAGCTATACTATAGAAATATAGAATAATATGCATATTTGTAAAGAAAAATTTTCTCAAAAAAATCTACTGTATTATATATGTTCATTTTGAAATATGTCAATCAACTTTTTACAATTATCTATTAAGAATAACTGCATTTCAAGTCATTTTGTATAGTCTTCTCAATGAAATTCAAAACTTGTTTTTACCAAAATGATCAGAGAAAAAAGCTCTAAAAAATCTAATGTACAGGAAGGTTTTTAGACTAATCGGTTTCGTCATTAATAATGAACTAATCAATCTTAATTTGTTCAGTTGAAACTGACAAGATTATACAAAATTGAAAGACGCCACTTAAAAAAAATCTTTGTCTTTCACATATCAATACTATCGTAATAGAGGTAAGAGAATGAGAGGTCTATTTATTATACGCCATTCGTTACATACAAACATATAAACACAAGAGAAAAGGTTTTTCTCACTCATTGTATGCTGTACAAACGAAAAAGAACTATACTTATTTGTCACGTGTAACTCGAAAACGATATTATTGTGTGATTAATAATGCGAAAATAGTATGTAAGTATCATTTACATTCATTTTAAAAGACAATAATTTTATTTTTTTTATAGTAGTTCTCAATCATTCAGTCTCACTGATAATATGGATATATCTACTTCAAAAATCAAAGATATTCTGGATGAATTTGGTGTTGGTGTTCATTCAGAATGTGGTAAATTAGACATTGTTCTTATGCATCGACCAGGCAAAGAGCTTCTTCGATTAACAAAAGAGAATCATGATCATTTTCTTTATGATGCTCTTCCTAATATTATTCAAACACAACAGTCTCATGATATATTTTCACAATATTTACGTGATCATGGAATACA